ATGGTTGACATGTAGTAAATTGAGCTGCAAGTATTGTTCCAGATTGATGGGTGCCACATATACCTCCATGAGTCTCAAAAAGAGTAGTAGTTGCTTCTTTTTTTGATACACACCTAAGAAGTATTCCATAAGAAGATCTCTTATATAGGGTGTCATTTAGATATATGAAACGATTATCCAATCACTAGACATCGACTCTTTTCCTTAGGTCACATGGTAGTTTTCCATGTTGAACAAAGTCAATCATAGGATGACGCAAATATGGGTGTTCTTTAATTTCATAAACTATGACAATATTGACCTCATGATTTTGCCCCATATGATATAAGTATAAAGGAAGTAGATGGCATTCCCTAATAATAAAATGTATGTCTCTTTCCTCAAGTAGAGTTAAAGATGTTGCGAGATTTTCCTATCCATTAGTTTTCTCGTTTTCTGATCTTGGGATATGGGCAATATGAATTTGTTGAAATTGAGATATCAATTTTTTAGCTTTGTCATGATATGGACCCAAGTTTTAATTTTTCACTTCATATTGGTCGTTTAACTGTTTGACAATTAGTTATGAATCGCCAAATGCATGTAAAAAATCAATGCTTATTTTTAAGTGCAATTTTGAGGAAAATGATGAGTGCCTCGTACTTTGATATGTTATTTAAGCAAAGCAACTCCTAAGGTCTACTTATTTATGGCATAATGAGAGAGACTATAATTTATCAGAGTGAAAGTAACAATATGCCACCATTTGTGCATAAGAGACTACTGAGTCTCTACTCCCAGTGACCAAAACAAGAGCATTGCTTGCCTATGACCAAAGGTCTCTTTATTATTTTGTTCTCTTATTTTTATTATTATATTTGTGACATAACACATTCTTTGATTGTTTTTCTCCGTCTCCACAGATGTGAAGATCAACACAAATGGCCAAACGCGGGGAGTTCAGGATTCACAAGCTTGTCAACTGTGTGGGTAAAATTTAGAGAAACAATATAAGTATACTATGAAGGAGGTGGAAAGAGACCTAAAAGAGATCACTGATGTCTACGTATGGGAGAGACGTCAGACATGGAAGTAGTAGTTAAGCCAAGGAATAACGACAAGTACTCAAACATGCACCAACGTGGTGTACCAAATCGATTTACACTATAAAGAGCTCAAGAAAGTTAAGACCATGGCCAACGATGTTGGCCTCAAGATGAAGCCAGAAACGAGCTAGTTTGAGGTGAGCCTAAATGCATGCAAAACATTAAGGCCAATGATGACTGCCTCGTACTCTGAAACCTTGTTTGAGCAAAGCAACATAAGAGAAAAATAGTAGGGGATTAGGCCTCTTAATGGTGTGATGAAAACAAGGCCTGCCCTCCCTCCTTTCTCCCTAGCTGTCCCATCAAAGTAAAGCTGACACGACGAGATTTCTGCAGAAAATACCTCTTCATTGGTAAATCATTTGGCAACTCCATGTTGTTAGACATGGTGTTTGCAGACAGGAAATTGACTAGTGCTTGTTCCTTGATAGCTTTTAGGGATACATATTTTATTTCAAACTCTTACAGCAGCAAAGACCATTTTGCTAAACACACATATGACACTAGCTTTGGCATCAAATATCTGAGAGCCTTGGAATTTAGAGTGAGAGAGAGTAAACAATCTCGTAATTTCTACAAGGCGAAGATCAAAGCCAAACAAACTTTTTCAATGGGGGTGTAGTTTTGTTCTGCCCTTAAAAGGGTTAGACTTAGATAGTAGAGTGTGTTATCATTTTATTTTTTTCTCGTTTGGAAATCGCGATCATGTGTTTCTTAACGCTCCAATATTTGCTCTTTTGAAGTTTCTTGGACTAGTAGGTTGTAGCTTTTTTAAGTCGTACAAAAAATGTGACACGAGAAGGACAACTACTTATTTCCTTCTCGAGCTGTTGGAAAAGTGAAACATGAGGTGATTTAGTGCTTAACTCAGTTTAATCAAACATGGATTTCTCAACTTCCATCAGTTCCTCTGTACTTATTTCTTTTGCCTTAAGCATATCATTTCTTGTTGTTGGCACTGAAAACTGAACAGATAGAGATGAGTGCAACTTACAAGTGATGTGGATGATCTAGAGATCGATTGAGTGTTAGATGTAGATTCCTCCTGTCCTAGGATGCTGATCCTGAACCAAGGAAAGCTGAGGCTCGTGAGGTCAATGAAACCGGTGTGGAACCAGCCTAAGACCCTCCGATGCCGAAGTAAGTTTATTTCAAAGAGCTTTTGTTATTGACAATGTATTTAGCATAAAAGTAAAGCTGAAAAGTCTTACCCTTGTATTGTAGTGGAAGGGCCTATTTATAGAGGGCATTTGGTATGCTCTTAGTACTTAATTTCGATGTGGGACTCGTGAGAGGGTCCTATGAGGTTGACACGAGTCTTTGGATATTTCAGGCGGGGCCTTCGAGGCTTGCTTCGCAGAATCGGTAGGAGATACTGATTGTTCTCTGTCTTGTGCAATACCATCGGTAGATGATACCGATTGTTCCCTGCCTTGGGCAATTGGGGAGTTTTACCAATCCATGCGTCACTGTATGAGTGGAGGGTCAGATATGGTACAAACACTTGTTTGGCTTTACCTTATTGTGGTCTTTACTTCCAATGGGTCGGAGGATGATGTTGTCGTGAACTCAACACGACCATGTCAGACATTGTTCTTCCTTAAATTAGTTGAGACTATCAAACTGCCTTCTGGGATTGACTAGTTAATCCTACACAATGACTGTGTGTAGCTTGTCATGAGCATCTCGATTATATTTTGGACTAACATCAACGCATTTTGGCCAGTCTTCTTTTTGTAATTTGTTGAGTATTTGAAAATTGACTTTGAACTCGAGACCTTTTCATTATTTGGGGAAAAACTAGAAGGGTTGTGGTCTTAATTCAGACCGGATTGGTTGATCCTAGTGTTTCTCCTACTTTTGTTGTTGCCTCTGGCCTAGCCTTCTCTCTACATTTTGTGGTTCTAAAATGGTAAGGCTTGGTGGTTTATAGAATTTGGAAACTGAAAAATTGACTTCCTCACCTCTGAATGGATCAGTGTATGCAAAGAGTTTCTTGACCTCACTATTCAATAAGAACCTAAAGCCTCATGTAGTGTGGAAGGAAGAATGCCATCTATATGAAGCCATGGACGAACTATGTAAGATGTGTTAGTATCAATAACATGAAAAATGGCATAAGAGTAAAGTTCCCCTATTTTCATTTGCAATGCTATAACACCTATGAATCTTTACCTTGCCTGATTGAAACCTTGAATAATCAACATCCATGGTGACAATTGTCGAGCACTCATCACAATCGCATGAAGCGTCTTTAAGGATAGAAGATTTATCCTCGAGCCACAATCGAGTAAGATGCAATTGTTTAATGTAATTTCAACTTCTCCAGTGACATAAAAGGGTCGGTTGTGGAATTCAGGTCCAAGCATAAGGTCATTTTAATAATTTTGATGCTTGCAAAGTTGCAAGCACAATACTTTGGTAACGTTGCAGCCACATCTACTGGCTCAAAACTGGTTCTAAATACCTCGGGGCTTATTAAAGCCATTATAAGCACTTCTCTAAGCTACTTGAACATTTGCAAAGCATTGTAGATACTAATGAGCCAATACATCGTACTTGACCTACTAGAGATGGGTCCCTGACATGCTAGGACTTAGAACTGTTCACCATTGTGCTGGTAATTCGTATTTCCACTAGAAGACTCTTTAAAGACGAAATTGTAATTTCTTTCGTCTTTCACTTGTTAAGATGACTCACAATTTGGTGGTTTTTCAGCTTATTCCCATGGTACAAGTTTGGTGAGGTTTTAAATATATTTTGCATTTGCATATTGACGAGTATGTTGAACATGTGATTCTATATTTCAGTCAAGATTATTGATGATATGGATGGGGTTTCCCTCATTTGGGATCAGTTTCTATTTTCTTTTTTTTATATAAAATAAAACTTTTTATTTCCATTAGAATACCCTCCCTTTACTTTTTTTTTTTTGTATCAAAATCCTTCTTTACATTTGGGAGCCCAAAGTGATTCACGAATAAGAGTCTGTTTAGTAGACAAAAAAAGAAACTTTCTTCACCTACAAACTCCACATAACTTCTCTCTCTCTCTCTCTCTCTCTCTCTCTCTCTCTCTCTCTCCTACTTCTTTTCTTTCTCTTTCTTCTTCTTGCTCTCTTCATCCTCCTCCTCTGTGTAGTCAATGGGATCAACTTGCTCCCATTTCAGTTTAATTTTTTTTTCTTCTTTCCAGTTGACTTTCTCCTCCATGGCCTCTCTCAGCCGTTTGTTTTTTCTATCATAAACTACGGTTTGGGATCCATCACCTTCCTTCCACTTGCCTTTCTTGGCAAGTTGGAAGATGGGAGGTCATGCAATCTTTAGGGGCAATGTAAAATTTCCTAAATGAGAGAATGAATTGGGTGTCCTCATTCAGGTTCTCTTTCACAGTAAGTTGTTCATTTTTTGCTGTTCTATAGTTTGATAGGGCCATTTGTGAGGGAAATCACATTTTTTCTTATGTGGTTACGGATGGAGGTGTGATGTGGGTAGAGCAATTCCACCCGTGAGGGCTGGCCTTGGCAAAAAAGGGCTCGAGTCCCGTTTCGCATTTCTAGTAGGGCTGGGCACGGTCCGGTTCGGCCCGATTTTCATATAAAATTAGAACCATAACCAGTATTGTTCATCGGTCCGATTTTTATGACATTTTAATTACAAACCCGAACCAAACCGGACCAGTTAGATCCGGTTCGGTTTCCGGTTTTCCCCGTTTGGGCCGACCCCAAAGCCCAATCAATTGTTTTGTTTTGTTTTTTGTTTTACATTTCTAGCTTCAAGCCCAATTTTGTTTTTGCTTTTTGTGTGGATATTTCCAGCTTCAAGCCCAACCGAATTTTTAAACTTTTTGGGCTTAAAAATCACAATTGGCCCACTTAACATATTGAATCAAGCAATCATTCTTTAGCAAAAATAATAAAATTAAAAAAAAATCCAACATTAAATTTAAAATTTCAACCAAATTTATAATGAAGCAAACTAAATTACAACTAAATTTTAAATTATAGCTCCACTTCTTTGTTGCCGCATCTCAGAAGCTCCAATGATCTGTTTCTACCAAAAACACAAAAGAACAAATTAATAAAAGTTTAAAAGTACCAGTTTATAAGAATAATTTCAAAAGTTGCATTTGGTTTAGGGTTTAGGGAGCAGAGGAAGAGCCATTAGCCTTAAATCCTCTCAAGAAACTGAGAAAATGTAATAACTTCTTGCTTCCACTCCAGGTATAAATAATTTTTCCCAACCTACAAAGCATTCAAAACTTTATCAGTTAAGCGAAAGAATAAAGAACTCAAAAGCGAAAAACTTTATCAGTTATTTCACGCAAAAATCCCTCCAAAGATGGACCAGATCTCTTCAAAACCATTTTACAAGAAAGTGATAGAAGCATCAGGGAAGAAGGCCAAGAATACATGACGTGGACTGCAACTTTGCCATCTCCCTCATGAAATAGCAACCCACTGTTCTAGAAAAATAAATTAACAAATAATAATTGAATAGAAATCCTTATTCCAGAAAGAAAAAGAAAAAGAAACCCACAAATAAATTAAATTAATTGTCTAAAGTATACAGCTACAGACTGCAAATTAACCACAAATATTATACATATTTCTCTATTCCTCTGTTGAGAAAGTCATGAAGGTATGGACAACCAACATGCCCAATATTGATTAATAGAAATCCAGAAAAACATATCTGAGAAAAATCTTTGGAATCTACTAAAAACCACAAAAAAATAGGGGAAAAGAAAGAACTCACCCTCTCATCATTGTCGTCATCATCATCATCGATGAAGGTATGGGCTCACCCTCATCGTCGTTGTCATCGATGTGTCCCTCGCCATCATCACCTCCTTCACCTTCTTCGTCGGAGAGAGAGAGGATGAGGAGAAAGAGATAATAGAGAAGGGGCGGCTGAGAAAATTATGAAGGGTAGGAGAGACGGGGAGAGAGCTGAGTTAGGGTTAGAAATAAAAGGATAAATGGGGTGAGGTTATGTGCAGCCCTTGCTATACAAAGAATGTAGAATCGGTGCACCAACCAATCATAATATTAGCATATTTAAATAATTTTTAAAAATTATATATTTAATAAATAACCGGTCCAGTCCGATTTTTTAAAACAGCAAACCGAAATTGGAACCGGGTTGAATTGGTCCGGTTCGATTTCTGGTAAACTCAGTCTGATTTTGGTCAACACGGTTTTTTTTTTTTCCGGTTTTTTCGGCTTGGTTCGGCTCGGTTCTTCGATTTTCCGGTTTAGATGCCCACCCCTAATTTCCAGCGGGCTCCAGCAACCGGGGTAGATGGTGGGGGCCACCAAATCGGGCAAGCCCAAAGGCAGATCGTGCCCGAGGGCTGGTGATGTGAGTGCTGATGCCAGGCTTGCATTAGTGCAAGAGATTCAAATTTTTTTACCATTGGTGCGTGGCGTACACAAGCCAATGGTAAAAAAATTTCAAAATCTCGTGCACTGACACCATCCTAGCATCAGCTATGATTTCCACCAACGGCCAAGGCACGTGTCGCACCTTAGTGTCTCTGATCCAAATTTTTCCTCCAATCCGACAGCTGATAAATTCGAATTTTTTATTATAAAAATACCAAAAAATTCTGAATTTTTTTTCTATAAATTCCTACCAATATTCTTCACCTTCCACACGAACTCTTCATACATTTTCTTCTCCTTCCAATATTATTCACTTTCTACATCAACTCAGACCTCTCACACCATATCCGAAACTATCATTTCATTTCTCAAATTTTAGAAAGCAAATTCATTGCTCTCAATGTCTTACACGAGGAGGTTTTTGAAGAGGCAAGTGCAAGAAATTGAAGAAAGAAGGCGCAAACGAGCTGAAGAAGAAAGGGAGGAGGAAGAAAATAATGATCAAGTTGTCATGGCAGTGGATATGCTCCATCAATCAAGCCAAGGCCACCGTGGTTCATAAGTCGGTCGTGGCCCGAACGTTAACAGACATAGACATTCTCGGGGTAAGAATCTCTTGGAAGATTACTTTATCCCAAATTCATTGTACTCTTTTGGAGGGCGACATAGAATACAGCCCTATTTGTTTAATAAAATCATGCATAATGTTTGCAATTACGACGCATACTTCGTTCAAAAGTATGATACTACTGGGGTTTTCGGGCTTCTTTCGAAGCAAAAGCTTACAACTTCTTTACGGATGCTGGCGTTTGGTGCATTTGCAGACCAAGTGGATGAGATTGCTAGGTGATGAGTAGATTTTATATTATATATTTAACCCTATTCTTAGTATATTTTGGTTAATATTTTGGAAGAATTTTGATACTTTGAATTATATTTCAAATATAGGACTTTCGACTTCCTTTGGAGCAAAACATAATCAAATGGACGAATTTTGGAGTAATTCCAGTTGGAGGACGTTCGTGAGTCACTTAGCTTGATCGTATCAAAATATCAAATTCGTCCACCAAGCGGTTATTTTCTGGCAATAAAATAAAGGAACAGTATGTGGTGCTGGAATAGTGACGTTTTGGGCCTTTATTGCGTTTTTGGAGCCCAAGATGACCTCAGATGGGTTCATGGCCTTCTGGAGATGTGTTCTGAATGCTTTTATCTTTAAAACAAGCTATCTTAGGCTAGATTTGGAGGAGATTTGAGCCCAAAACGTGGCTGGGCAGATTGTGGGCAGATTCTCCTAATCCAATTTGAACTTTATATCCTAGTATTATTTTAGAGTGATGTTATTTCCACCCACCTGTCCTATTTTCCCACCCACCTTATTTTTAAAATTTTTAAAACAAATTTATCCCTTTGTAAAATGACTTATAAAGACAAATGCCCCTCCTCCCTCTCCATGCTCTCGTCCTCACTCTTTCCCTCTCCGAGCTTTCTCCTAGTCTCCTCCTACCTCTCAAGGTGTTCCCTCTCTCTCCCTCTCTGTATGTGCTTGCATATTTTTGAACTTTGAAGTGGAACTTCAGTTTGCACAGTGTTTTTGTGGTTGATTTAGTTTGTGGGTTTTAATCGTTGTACAACTTGATGAAGATAGTTGGTTTGTTTTTGTTGTTCTCACTGGGAGTCGTAGGTTCAACTATGAATTTTCCAGTTTCAAGGGTAAAAGGCCTTCAATGGAGGATTATTTTGAGGCAAATATATTTGACGTTGATGGCCAGATGGTTTCATTTTTTTGTGTTTTTGATTGTACAGTAAAATTCAAGTTGTTCATTCGGGAATTTGTAGGACTTCAATAATTAGTAATTATAGGGTATTTTAGGAATAATGGTGGGTGTAAAGAAAAGATTGTGTTTTTTCAAATGTACATGGTGGGTGGGAAGATAAGGTGGGTGGGAAAATAGCATTGGGGGTGGAAATAGTAGCACTCTTATTTTATTTTAACCTAGTTCCTTGTGGGGATTAGGCAGTTGGGTTTTAGGAGGTATTTAAGTTCTTTTTCGCAGCAATTTTTGGGTCTTCTTTTTGGCTTTTGAACGTGACATTGTGGAGAGCAATTGCTAGGGTTTTGGAGTTTTGCGACTTTAGGGTGTTTTCATTCTTTTTCTTCTTAATAATATTTTCCATGATTTCAATTATGAATATGCGTAGCTAATTTTCTTTTGCTAGGGTGAAGCCTTGAACCTTAGCATGAATATGTAATTTTTATTTAATTGCGTATGATTGATTGCATGCACACTTTGAATTGTTAATCACTGTTTTAAACTATCTAATTGTCTTAATGCCTGATCACCATTAGGATCTTTAGAAAAGTAATTGGATGCAATTTTGGTCGGAAGGTTCCCTGAAATTGACCCTGGAGTCTTGTGATTAATAATTGTAATTTCACTTAAGATGAACACCACATCTTAAGGGTTGCATGGTTTTTCAAAGGGTTTTCAGAAAAAAATAATGAGTCTTTCATGTTCAGATTTGATCCGAACATCCGGACGGGTTGCATGTTGGATATACGTTCTATGTTGGAGGTTCCAAGTAGAATATAAATTAGGAAAACCTAACCTTCAAAGTGGTATGTGCAAATCATAAGTAATTGGTAAAAATTCATAGGATTGCTAGATGGTGAAACCCTAGTGCTTTTATAAATTGATATTTAAAACTCTTTTCTTCCATCGTAATTGTTTTTTATTAAAATTTGTTTTTAGTATCAAACAATTTCATAATCATCTTTCTCAACTTTCAATTTTAGGTAGTTAACTGGAAATTATTTTTACATAAATTGCTAAATAGTCCTTGAGGAGAACGACCTTGCATGAGCATCTATACTACAATAGCCTTGTATTCTTGCAAGTATTTTACGTGATTTTAACCTTATTTGCGTGGATGGTTAAAATCGTATCACTAGGATAGGGAAATCCATTATCCTAAAGAGCTTGGTTAGATTCTGTGATGTAATCGAAACTCTATACATGAGGGATTACCTCCACAAACCTACGCCTAAGCTTGCAGATTAAGGGAGAACTAGATATATATGTCTAGTTTAGGGTTCCAATTAGCAACTTCATTAACTTGTTCATTATGTTAATATGGGGATTAATTCTTAGGGTTTCTATATAAATATGTCACTATTTCTTAGGGTTATCATAGTTGGAACTTGCCTCTCAAATCATGAATTGCAAACTGGTGGTGCTCGTGGTGCTAATGCTTTGCCTCCTCATGTGCATGCTCACTGTTTGGGCCCTGGAGTATGTCGACAAGTTGGTGGCAGGATGACTACACAAATTAGCACTGATATGTAACTTTGGCTCCAAAGGCTTTTACAAAAAGTCGAGGCTCGAGGTTTCCCAGACATGTTTGGAAGAATCAACTGTATGCACTGGCAATGGAAAATTGCCCAACTGCATGGCAAGGAGATTATGGGAATACGAAGGGCCAAAAAAGTATCATTCTAGAAGACGTTGCATCATTCGATACATGGATTTGGCATGCCTTTTTCGAAGTTGCGGGATCTCAAAATGACCTCAACGTGCTCGGTCAATCCCCGGTGTTCAACGATGTGTTGAAAGGTCAAGCCTCTCAGATCACTTATGAAATCAACAATACCGTCTACTCGGGTGGGTACTACCTAGTAGACACAATTTACTCGAAGTGGACGACATTCATCAAAACAATTATGCATCCTCAATCGGAGAAGGAAAAATCATTTGCTGCCTATCAAGAAGGTTATAGGAAAGATGTGAAAAAGTGTTTTCGTATCCTGCAAGCTCAGTGGACAATCATTAGGGGGGCTACTCGTATGTTTGATGAAGAGGTACTTTAGAGCATTATGATGACGTGAATCATCCTCCATAACATGATTGTGGAGGATGAGTATGATTATGATGAACCAGATGTGTTTGAATGGATCCCATGAACACGGCATTGACAAGAATTTATGAACGGCACGTGGGAGCAAATGGATAACCACTGCAGCACGAACCGTTGATTAGGGACGGTCGTTACAAAAACTGTATGATTGACTGTTATACGGAAATGCAATCTTCTTATGTTCATGAACGACATCAAGTTGACTTCATGAAGCACTTATGGGCGTTGAGAGGCAATGACGGTCGAAGTCAATTTTAATGCTTAGCTTTTAATTATGCTTTGTTTGAATTATGCTTTGTTTTTTTTTTTTTTAAAATTTAAATTATGCTTTGGTTGTGTTTTGTAATGAATTATGTTTTGTTTTGAATCGGAGAAGGAAAAATCATTTGTTGCCTATCAAAAAGGTTATAGGAAAGATGTGAAAAAGTGTTTTCGTATCCTCCAAGCTCAGTGGACAATCATTAGGGGGGCTACTCGTATGTTTGATGAAGAGGTACTTCAGAGCATTATGATGATGTGCATCATCCTCCATAACATGATTGTGGAGGATGAGTATGATTATGATGAACCAGAGGTGTTTGAATGGATCCCATGAACACAACATTGATAAGAATTTATGA